GCTTAATTACTTACTAACAAATAACTCCCTTGAAATTTTCATACTTAACATGAAACATTCTCTTTCACTATTATTCTCGGTACCATAGAGAGCCTTATAGGAAAGAAATATAAGAAGTTAACTACCCCACAATGTAACAGTTAGATTTTTTTTTTCCTTTTTTTTCAAAAGTACTTAAACTCTTACTATACCCGGATTAGTCTTTTGGTGCCCAACATTGGCTCCTTAGTAAACTGAGCTATGCAAAGAGTATTCAAGAATGATAACTCTTCAATTCTATGCTTCAAACAAGTTGCAACTAAAGCCTTTGATATATGCGTATTATATCTTTATATAGATAATTTCAGTACATGATTCAAATCTTTAAAAATCATGTGACAATGATATACAAGCATATCATATTTAATTTTTGAAAGAACAAGTAGCCCCTATTAATAAATTAAGGGTATGATAACATTTGTGTTCCTCAATTATTTAAACACAAACAAATTTTCTCCCTTTTTTTTTTCTTTTTAAATCTCAAATTGCAAGGATCACCATATATAATGTTTACATACAACTCCAAGCCCAAGAAACAAATGCATCCACAACCATATAATAACATAAGATATTAATTATCAAAATTCAACATTTATATCTTGAACATTAAGAGTACGAGAGAATATTTAAGTAATATAATGATCTTGTCATTTCAATTCTTCAAGATCAATATGATACAAAAGAAACTTTGTAATAAAAGATAATCTCATATATCATCATAATTATAATTCAACATGACATCAAGGACACTCAAGAGGTCATTAAGAGCAAAATTGCTCTTGCAGTCCACATGTCCGATCACACTGGAGAGTCAACTAATTTTAGGCAAGTTTCAAGAAGCTAAGTCATTTGCGATGAAGTAATGGAGATTGCTAACTTCATCTGAACCATACCTCATATGTCACTAGTAGTAATCAAAAGAATAAATTATAGTAAAGAATAAATCTGTAGTGACTTCTATGGGTAATTTTTCAACTTGCATCTATTAAATGTTAAAAGGTTCATCATTAAGAACAACTAGAACTCATAAATTATGACAAAATTTTGACCTCGATAGGCCTGCTTTTGGTTCATTCATTGCACAGCTACCTCCAATAAAAAGCATAAAACTAAGTATTATATTAATGCTTTAGTTTATGTTACCTTTGGCCAAATTTTAGAAACGACAGAAGAGCCACAACCAAGTTACCAACACTTAGGGAATTAGAAATAGCATTTCCAATATCACAACTCACAGAAGCATCATTATGAGAACTAAAATTAACAAAAGTCCCAGAATCTATACTATATATAATAACAAAATCCAGGAATTTTAACTTCCCGCCTAATTCCTAAAAAATCTCTCTTCCCAATAAAATATATTGATTTCTACTTTCCCATTCGTACAATAATTCCGGGTATAAATTCTATTCTAAAATTTTAAAATAGTGTAATACAATTCCCTTTGTACATCTATCTTCTATCAATATAACAAAGCAACAACTTTCTCCTACACATTTTTCCCGCCCACACTATACTATGTCGTTTTATGTGATTATATAATATAGCTACTTTAGAGTCGAATTGAATGTGTTCAGATGATTGTTCGTTTTCCAATGTCAACCAAGTACAATAAATACACTTCTATTAATGAAAGACTTCTATTGATAAGCTACATATATACACCTGCATACATACAGATAGACACGCGCATAACTACAGATAGACACACATATTTTACATCTGTATATATACTATTAAATGCTTCGAAACAATCATCTACTCATTGTGCTCTGGAAACTGAAAGGTCTCCAGCAGCCTTCAGGCTTCCAAGGTATTTTTCAAATTTCGAATACACTGTTAGCCCTCTATATAAACCTCTCTAAACAGCCTTTTGCACTAACCCTCTCGGTGTTTGCTATTCACTGCTTAGACTTTGCCATCCATCTGATATAACATGAAAATGGCTCCATTATTCATCTTAGGGAAGGACATCTGCAGAACTTGAAGGCCGAAACACTGAGGTAATGTTTTCTTTACAAACCTGCAAACAATGCATTCATATTTAGAAAATAATATTTTCTTTCTTTATAGGCACATATGTGCATGTAAACATTCCTAAATACTGTGTTTACTTGGTTTCTTTTCTATTTCTTTATCTAATTTGTTGTATTAGACTCTATTGGTTTCTGTGGAGGATGCTGATGAGATCAAGGAGATGGGAAAGGTATACACTTACAAAGGTATACTAATTGTCAAAAGCTTCTTTTTAAGACTGTGGGGCTGTAAAAAAAAAAAAAAAAGAATTCTGTGAAAATGAAAATCAAATGAGGTATTAAAATCTATCTATCTATCAATCTATATTACTTAGAATTTTATTAATATTAACTGGTCAGCTAAATGCATATGGCAGTATGATTTTATTTGTTATTGTAGGTGTATTTTGATGGAAAGGACATAGATTTTTTAGGTGTAAATCCTGTATAAAATCTCTATATATATCATGCATTCTTATAACAGTACTTTATCATTTCTGCATCAAAAAGCTGAAGATAAAGGTATGTTTCCAGATTATATGTTAACAAATAAATATGTTATCTTTTCATATTTTCCTTGATTAGTAGACTAAGCGTTGCTGATTTGTAGCCTATTGATGAGCTGTCGTAGGCTCCCAAATTAAAACCTTACCAACGTAGTAGAGGGAGTAAGGATCGATCCCACGAGGAGTAACTAGTTTAATGTATGTGCTCAAATTAAAGTAAAGGGGGGTTTGGTATGAAGATGATAATCAAAGAAAATAAACGAATAAAGCGATGAAAACAATATATTGAAAGCACCTATAAAAGAAAACCTTGGTTAGTAAAGATCCACCACCGGAATTTAACACTGATCGTTGATTCAAAAGGTAATTAGTATGCAATTGAATATTTGTCGTGAAATTATTTAATTTCTATTTTCCCTTAGTTGTAGGTAAATAAAGCACAAGCGGTTTAATTACCCCTAACTACTAAATAACCTAAGACAACCGCTATAGATTTAATTTAATAGCAGCAATAGGAACTAGGAAAACCAACAAACTAAATAACACAAGCACAAGCGGTTGCATTTAATTTAGGAAAATATTCTTCCTGAAATCAATTATCACTAAGCCGTCAATAATTAACCTCAGTTGCTACTGAATATTAGAATAATTTGTAGCACAACATTATCTAATATAGCAAATAATTATATCAAATAATTTAGAAGAATATTTAATACCCAAATGCATAAAAATTATATAATAAAAATAAATAAATAATCTTACATCATAATCAATTCCGGGGCTTCAATTCACTAAACCAAGCTAAAGAATTTAGCCACGAATGGACATTGACAACAACTTTAAAGAATAATCGAGAGGGAAAGAATGAACGTTTTACAATAGGAAACTCCTAATATTTATAGCATTCTAAAAATAGGCCAAATGAACCTCTACCATCCATTCCCTATTATGGCGTCATTCGTCCGAAGACTTCCACTATTTGCGCCAAAATGAATGAATTGAAACTTTCAATTCTTCTATGCATTTCCGCTGCTTTGACCAACATAACCAACATAATACTAAATTATAATATATATATATATATATATATATATATATATATATATATATATTAGTAAGTATTATATTTTATATATATGTAGTATGTAGTACGTAGTAAATACTATTATATATTATATATTATATATATTTATATTATTAGTAGTACGTAATATATATGTATTCTATATATTTGTTTATTAGATATATTATTATTATTATTATTATTATTATTATTATTATTATTATTAGTAGGATGGTACGTAGTATATACATATATATTTTAATATATTATATATTTATTTAGTATTATATTTAGCTCATAAATTGTTAAACTCTAAAAATAACTAATTGTTAAATAATATAAAATAATTAATACGAAAATATTATAAAAATGTACCTAAAATATGAGTGTAAAATGCTCATATCAAATTCCCCCACACTAAAACATTTGCTTGTCCCCAAGCAAAAATATTATTTGCGAAGTAAATAAATAAAATCTCCAAAAATTCATAATACTTCATGAACAACAATCTGAAGCACCCTGCAATTAATATGTTAGCATTCATATTTGAAAATGAAGAAAACTAAATAAGTAAGCCCTCACAGAAATATCACTCATCACTCAAGTCAAGTGTTTGATGGGTATAGATTTCGCTCAAGTTCATTCCTATAAAATTGCTCTACCATAGGCTTGCATATATTCTCAATCACCACTACAAGAGTCATGCATGACACAAATCATAATGACTTTTCACAGGTTGTAATGGGGCTAGGGTTAAGGTAGGGAATATTTAGGAAAGTAGCTTAAGCAAAAGCTTCAAACTAGAGGAGCAAAATGTGTGCAAATAATCCAAGATACTTGCTCAACACCCTCAATTTCCATTCAAAAACACAATCTATTGAGGTTTCAACATGACTATCATTCTTAAAAATATAGAATTCTTCCTCAGTATTCCCTTGCTTAACTTATTTGGACGTAACTTCAACTCAAAATCAATTGCTGATTCTTTCTCATTTTCTCATAAATTTTCAGCAATATTTTTCTTCTTCAAACATATATTCTCAATTTTTTTCATTTTTTTTTAGCAAAAGTGTCAAATCGCACCACGAACCAATTGCGATTCTTCATCCCGCACCCTGCTCTTTCATTACTGCCTATTCGATGCACAAACCGTCTATTTTTTTCCAATTAGTCATTTTTACAGGTTTCCCTGTAAACTTGATGACATGGAGCAGGTCTTAATCTGACGTGGAGGCTATGTTTAGCATTTTAGGCGAAGTTGTTGAATTTATGCCTCATTCTCGTCTTCTCCCTTTCGCACAACCACTAGCCAGTGTATTTTGAAGGCTTAATCAACCACAGCGATCTCCTTCGACGAACTAGACTTGTCCGACGAAGATGTCATCTTCCTCCAATTCATCGCGAGTGAGAGTTAACATGGAGTACGAGCCCAGTGTTTATTGTACGTGTGGATTGAAAGCCCCTATTTGCACGAGTAGAGAGTCGGGAAAGCAATTCTTCGGGTGTCAAAGGTGGAAGGTACGTATATGTTGAGCCAATTTTGAATGAATTTTGGGTTTAGGGTTTTTTTGGTTTCTTCGTAGGATAAGCAATTCCTGCTCTGGTTTTTTGGTGTTTTGTTAATTGTTAGGGTTTCGGATTCAATTTACTTTGGATTGAAGTTAATTGTAATTTAATTTGTTTGGTCTAAAATTTATAGCTTTGGATTTATTAAAATTCTATTGTTTGTATAGGATGGAAATGGTTGTGGCTTCTTTCGTTGGAAGGACGACAGTGCAAGGAGGGGAGAAGGTGACCATGAACAACTAAAGAATCTGGTGGTGTCTATGAGGGGTGAACTAGAAGGGTTGAGAGAACTAATGGTAAAAGAATATAGTGCTCTGAAAAAAGAAAACGAATTGTTAAGGATACTTCTCTTAGTTGTAATTGTTGTTCTTGTAGCAAGAATGTTAAGTTAAAAAGTATTGGTGTAGCAAGGGAGAATTGTGGTTGTAATTGTGCTTGTTTTAATGAAAATTTGCCAGCAGTTTCCAGTGAAGCCTTAATTGTTTAAATTTGGCTATGTATGGGTACATTTGTTTACTGCCAAGAATGGCTAAGTATGGCTAAGTTAATTGCTTGAATTTGGCTAAGTATGGACTAATTTGTGTAGTGCCAAAACTGAGTAAGTAAACTGCCAAACAACAAAAGCAAGTCTTTAAAATGGCTAAAATGAGTAGCCAAAATACATTCACTATAATATACCAAATGGACATTGTCAGTAGTCGAAATGCCTAAATAGTATCCAAAATACATTCACCAAATCAGCTTAAATAGTAGCCAAAATACATTCACCAAATCTGCTTAATGAGTAGCCAACATACATTCACCAAATCAGCCTAAACTGCCATTCATTGTTAATTAAACGGCCAAAATACACTTCCACCAAAACAAAAGATAAACCCTTTCAATTGTTGCAAAAATACAGTTTGACCAAAGCAAGCTGCAACTCTTCACTGATGTGTGCAATCTACAAATATAAACAAAATATTAATATCATAATCAAATACAGTTTCTATGCTCAATATTAGATAAACCCTACAAACACAGTTAATTTAATGTAATTACCTGAGATTCCAAGACAACTTTGTTCACTATCAGTTTGAGCAGCCCTCCCTCTTCCTCTTTGAGCACTAGCAGGCCTTCCTCTTCCTCTTCCTCTTTCACCACTAGAAGCCATAGAGGTACGAGCAGCAGTTGCTTGTTGAGCACCATCACTTTGAGCAGCCCTCCCTCTTCCTCTTTGAGCACTAGCAGGCCTTCCTCTTCCTCTTTCACCACTAGAAGCCATAGAGGTACCAGCAGCAGTTGCTTCTTGAGCACCATCACTTTGAGCAGCCCTCCCTCTTCCTCTTTGAGCACTAGCAGGCCTTCCTCTTCCTCTTTCACCACTAGAAGCCATAGAAGTACCAGCAGCAGTTGCTTCTTGAGCACCATCACTTTGAGCAGCCCTCCCTCTTCCTCTTTGAGCACTAGCAGGCCTTCCTCTTCCTCTTTCACCACTAGAAGCCATAGAGGTACCAGCAGCAGTTGCTTCTTGTTGTTGGCTTGACAAACTAGGACAGAATCTTTTGTTGTGGCCTTTACCCTTGCATAGTTGACAGGTCATGATCCTTCCTTTCCTTGACATCTTTCTAACCTCTGAACTTAATTTGTTTTTGTCCTTGTTCTTTTCATCATCTTCAACCTTTCTTTTTTTTTTTTGGGCCTGCCAGTCATCTTCCTAGGAACTGGAGCTTGTATCTCATCTCCTTCTGTTCTTGGCCAGAATTGCTCTCCGTTTATAGGCTGTATTACATGCTCATAGGTCTTCAAGTAGACTTCCTTGGTGTACCATTCATGGATGTACTGATCCGGTTGATGGCCCCTGTGAAATATGGCACAAATTGAATGAGGACATGGCACCCCAGTCAACTGCCAAAGCCTACAAGAACATGTCCTCAACTCCAAGTTTATCTTGAATTGAAATCTTCCCCTTTTGACCTCATATCCATCAACTCCATTGAAGATGATTTCCCAATCTGCACTACCAAGTATATTTTCATTCAACTTCTTGAGGACATTTGTGCCAAAATTCCCACTCCATCTCTCTGCAATGGCTTTCTTCTTAGCAATCCTCTTCATCACTGCAACTCTAATATCTTCAAGCATTGGAATAATGTTCTTTGACCATGCTGCCAATAATGTCCTATTGTATGCCTCACTTAGATTGTTGTCAACCATGTCACATTTCACTTCTTCCTTGAAGTAAGCTTTGCACCAGTTCTGCATTGGGTACCTCTTCAGGTCATGAAGTGCCCCAGCATCTACTTTCTCTAGATCTTTTAACTTCTCAGCTAGTAGTGCTTCTGTTGGAGTCTTTGCAATCTGCCAAAAATGAGCTTTTAGGACCTTCCCTTTGTGCTTCTTACTCCAATTGGCATGCACATGCCTAGCACAGTTTCTATGCTCAACCCCAGGGAATAGTTCTTGTATGACATTTGCTAAACCCTGCAAAATCATATTTTATGTTAGCAACACATTAAGACACATTAAATCTTATTAACATATTTAAAGAAGTAGAAAATCACACCTTTTGTTGATCACTCATCAATGTCCATTGAGTACTGTCCACTATTTTGAGGTCTGTCTTTAGAAGATTCAGAAACCATGTCCAAGAAGAGCTGTTTTCAATCTCCACTACAGCCCAAGCTATTGGGTACATTTGATTGTTCCCATCTCTACCCACAGCTGTTAGGATTTCACCCTTCAATTTTCCCTTTAAAAAACAACCATCTAATCCAATAAACCTCCTACACCCCTCTAGAAACCCCTTCATCATGGCATTAAAACAGACATAGATCCTCTGAAATACCACAGGTGAAGTAGGAACAGTCATGGTTGTTTGAATCTTCACTGTACTGCCTGGATTGGAATTCAAACACTCTTGAGCGTAGTCCCTAAGATTTTTGAATTGACTCTCATAACCAATATCCAACATTTTCAGAATCCCATTCACTGCCCTTCTACACATACTGACACTCACATTAATGTTCATCTCAGACTTAATGTCTCTGCTTAACTCAGAGTATCCAATTGTTGGATTTTGCCTCACTTTTTCTTCAAACTTCCACTCTAACCACTTTTGATTAACTATCCCTAATGTGAATTGGTTGTTGCATTTATGGTCCACCATAATTGATTTAACTTGAAAACACTTGGTTCTTTCTTCCCACCCTGCACTTACATGAAATGCACAACCCTTTCCAAGACACTCAACCCTCACATACCTTAGCTGATTTTTTTTCCAAAATAAATCTCTCTTGGTGTGAACTGCATAACTTATCATAGCAAGCTTGAATTCGACATTATCATCTAAGTACATACCTAATTCCAGAAATGGAGGATCAGATTTTGGGTTGTACTTAGGGTAGTTGTCATTGTACTTTGATTGAACTTCAACACCTTCCTTATTCTCCAAATCTGCCTCAACTGTTGGTGGATCTTGGGAATCATAGTACACAGAATCTCCCTCTGCTTCTAAGGGATTTATAGGTGTTGGAATATACTGTGGTATAGGGTCAGGATCTAGTCTAACTTTTCTCTTTCTCTTCACCCTTGTAGTCTGCTCACTGACCTCTGAGTCATGTTCACTGCCACTAGTTAAATGCTCACTGCTACTATTAGTATCATAGTCACTTCCAAATCCATAGTCTTCACCCCCACTTACATCCTCACCTTCAGATGCAGCCCCACCCCCTAACTCTGCCTCAACTATAGCCCCCCCCTTCCTCAGCTCCTAATTCACCCTCAACTTCATATGCAGCCCCCCCTTCCTCAGCTCCTAATTCACCCTCAACTTCATATGCAGCCCCCCCTTCCTCAGCTCCTAATTCACCCTCAACTTCATATGCAGCCCCCCCTTCCTCAGCTCCTAATTCACCCTCAACTTCATATGCAGCCCCCCCTTCCTCAGCTCCTAATTCACCCTCAACTTCATATGCAGCCCCCCCTTCCTCAGCTCCTAATTCACCCTCAACTTCATATGCAGCCCCCCCTTCCTCAGCTCCTAACTCTGCCTCAGGTTGAACTCCAGTCCCAGGTAAACATAAACCAACTACTTCAGGCTCATCAACCCCATGCTCCACATATATCTCAACCCTTTTATTTTCAACAGCAATCTTAGCTAAGTGTAGACTACTAGCATCATTATTTAATAGTTTTAAAGCTTTAAAGGGTTCCTTGGTAGACTTATAGGTCAGAGATGTTATTTTCCCATATCTTTGGTTTGTTATATACTTGAGTAAGTGTGGATAGCATATAACATCAGGGTCCACCCTCACTACCTCTGTCTCCCCATTCAAATATTTCAACTTAGGCTTTTGCACGAAATTCCCACCATGATGTATAATTAATTCCACAGTTTCATTCATCCTGACAACACAAATGCAATGCACATTTAACATAAAAGCATTGCCACACTTTAAACAGACAAAAGCTTTTAACAAATGCCTTTCAACTGTGATAAATAAGAGTAAAGTAATGCAGCTGCCAACACTGTCCTGCCACTTTATCGAAAAGGAGTAAACAAATGCAACACCACACTTTATCAAAGCATATACATACAAAAATGCAGTACTCATGGACCCCACTACATCAAAAATAATAATGAATTAAAGCAAAGCCAACAACAACATGGACCACACCGCATTCAAAGCATATTAAACCCCAATCAAAGCAAATTGAAAGCATATTGAGAACATATTCGCAAAAGATAACATTATAAGAGTGTACATTGTTCTACATATACAGCTACATCGAATTACCTTAATTTTCCTTCGCAAATATTGCCTTTCTTCCTTCGCAAATATTGCCTTCGAATTCCAGAAACTTTTCCTTCGTCCTCCAATGGTAGTTGCGATGTATGGGAAGTCGTCTACGTGTCGTCAGGCTTAGAGATTTTTGGTTTGTGTAGTAGAACGGAAGATTGAATGGTTTCACAACTCTGCTTGCATCGTAGATTTCAGATTAGGGTTAGGGATTTAGGTTTCAAGTTGGGTTAAATGTAGAGAACTGCTGAATCGGCTGCCACCTATACAAAATAAAACACGTCAATAGCATAACACTTCCACATCAGCAACGCATTACCTACAACTTGCATTCAACCTGTAAAAATGACTAATTGGAAAAAAATAGACGGTTTGTGCATCGAATAGGCAGTAATGAAAGAGCAGGGTGCGGGATGAAGAATCGCAATTGGTTCGTGGTGCGATTTGACACTTTTGTCTTTTTTTTTTCAATGTTCCATACTTTTTTTTTTTTTTGAAATGATAAACTGCCTTCATTTTTTTCTTTTCCATAAAAGGCCAAAACCACATTGGCAACGAAGATACAACCCACCTCACTTTCAATCATATTAACAAAACAAATGGTCTCCCCCACACTTATTCTTCACAATCTCACATCAAGAATAATCCAAAATTTGCTCCACTAGTTATTCAGCTGGGTGAAGACATTATTTTTAGATATAAAAGGCTTGTAATGTGGTTCAAGATAAAGAAAAGAATGGCTGCAAAACTCAAAGTGCGTTAACAAAGGAGAAATAATTCATAGGACAAACCGGTTATTTGACTAGTGAGGCTCAAAATCAAATAATGGCCTTAATCACACTTGAGTCATGCATGGTCTAATTAGCTTTAAAAGAGAATCAAGGCAAGTTCTAGAGAAACAAAATTATGGAAGAAATCACACAATAGAAAAAAATAAGACCGAAGTATCAGTCAATGGCTCAAAACACTCACAGGTTTATTGCTTACTTAATATAGCCACTACATATCAAACAAGAAATGCTAACAAACTAGTCACAATTTGCCAAACTATTTATTCAATCATGTTATGAATTCCAAGAAAGGAAAAATAAAATAATTTTTTTCAAAATAATACTTATTTTGCATAAAATACTAGTAAAATATTTGTGAAAATTTTTGAAAATTTTGACATATGCAAACAAATAATAAAACTAAATTCCCTCCCCCACACTTATTATCAACATTGTCCCCAATGTTGAACAAAAGAGCACAGAAAAAGGGTTATTGAATGAGAAAAGGGAATAAAAGAAAAAGAATGGAACAAACACACCTTAGGTTGCCTCCCAAGCAGCGCCTTTGTTTATCGTCGTTGGCTCGACTTATGATATTTCTTTAAATTTCCATCGTCTTTTTGAGTACCTTCGATGATTATGAGTATTCAAAGAAACAGTTCCTTCATGAAGATTAGTACTCAAAGATGATTTATTATTTCTTTCTTTTTCATTCGAAGCAATTTCATCAAATGTAACAAAGTTCAAAGAATCAACAAAAATTGAAAAATCATCATCACTAGGAGATTTCATGGTATCATAATTATTAAAAGTCACAAGTTTACCATTAGACTCCATAGTAAGCATACCACTATGAATATCAATTTTTGTTTTTGCGGTTTTTAAGAATGGCCTTCCTAACAAAATATGATTATTATTTTCCATATCAAGCACATAAAAATCAGCAGGAAAAACCAAGTTATCAACTTCAACAATCAAATCCTCAATCACACCCCTAGGATATGTAGTAGATCCATCAGCCAATTGAATTATTATACTAGATTTATTCAGGGGTCCAAGATTTAAAGAAGCATAAACAGAATATGGCATGACATTAATAGAAGCTCCTAAATCTAACATAGCATTTTCAAATTTCACCCCACTTATCATGCATGGAATAGTAAACATACCTGGGTCTTTGTACTTTTCAGGAAGATTGCTTTGACTAGCCATAGAGACATTCTCTTGCACTTTCACTTCCTCAATTCTTTCATTATTTCGTTTCTTTTTCATAGTGCGTACCTCTTTTAGAAAATTTGCATAGCGAGGTACTTTTTCCATAGAATCTAAAAATGGTTTATTCGCCTCACATTCACGAAACGTCTCATACAGATCATTATTTGAGTTTCCTCTTATTGTTTCTAAAAGAGCTTGAGGAAATGGGGGTACTGGTTCATAATCAGAAAAAGATGAAAGCTTACCTTCGGACTTCTCTTTATTGTTGGCAATGATTCCTGCACTTATTTCCTTGTTTAAATCAACATTCTTTTCCAATGACATACTGTCAACACTAATTGCACTTACACTCTCTTTTGGATTAACCACCGTTTGAGAGGGTAGCTTGCCAGAACTCTGTGCTTCCAACCGACTAACCGTAGTTGCTAGTTGGCCCATTTGTCTTTCCAAGTTTTGAATACTAGCATTTGTTTCTTGAATACTAGCCTTTGTTTCTTGACGGAATATTTGTGTTTCTTGTTGAAACTGCAGAGTGTTAGTAGCAAGAGATTTAACAATATCTTCTAGATTCATACCTGAGCTAGAGCCTTGGGTCGGTTGTTGTCTTGAAGGAAATGGTTGTTTATACTGTTGAAAATTAGAACGATTCTGAACAAACCGGTTCCCTTGTGAGTTTCCATAGCTAAGGTTTGGGTGATCCCTCCATCCAGGATTATATGTATTGGAAAAAGGATCATACTTACCTTGAGGTTGTCCAGGAAAACCTCCAGCCGTGTTGACTTGTTCAATAGGTTTTTCTTGAAGAGTTGGGCAGGCATTAGTTTGGTGCCCAACTACCGAGAAAATTTCACATGCTTTTACAGTTTGCATATTGCATACAGCTAATTGACGAACAAGAGTAGTTAAACCAGAAATTTGTTGTTCAAGAGCAGAAATATTTACCTCATTCACTTGCTTAGACGGTTGGACAAATCTATTGCCAAACTGTTGAGAATTTGCAGCCATGTTTGCAATTAGAGTTCTTGCATCGTTTGGTGTCTTGTCAACTAAAGCACCACCGCTTGCGGCATCAATCATGCTTCTATCCATTGGAAAAAGTCCTTCATAAAAGTATTGAATGAGTAATTGATCACTAATTTGATGATGTGGGCAACTTGCACATAGTTTCTTGAAACTCTCTCAATATTCATACAGGGACTCTCCATTGTTTTGCCTTATACCACATATTTCCTTTCTAATGTCGGCCGCCCTTGAAGCTGGGAAATATTTTTCAAGGAACGCTGTTTTCAAGTTATTCCATGTGGTGATGCTCCTGGAAGGTAGATAAAATAGTCAATCCTTCGCTGAATCCTTCAACGAAAAGGGAAAAGCTCTCAACTTGAGTTGTTCTTCAGTAACCCCTGTGGGTTTCATACTTGAACACACCACATGGAATTCCTTTAAGTGCTTTTGAGGATCGTCACCCGCAAGTCCATGAAAAGAAGGCAAAAGATGAATTAACCCAGATTTCAGTTCGAATTGTACATTAGCATCCAGAGCAGGGAAAGTGATGCATAAAGATTGGTGATCTAAATTTGGAGCTCCAAGCTCTTTTAAAGTTCGATTTTGAGCCATGGGTTCCTCTTCTAAATCAGAATTGGCGAAATCGGTAGCCAGATCACTAAACTCAAATTTTCTGAAAGCTTGTTTCTTCCACCTGCGTATAGTTCTTTCAATTTTCGGATAGTACGGCAAGATTTTTTGATTAGCAGATCGGGTTATAGGCATAAAAAAGGAGAAAATATATTGCAGCATTTATGTAAAAGCACTGAAACAAAAGAAAATTATTCTTTTTGATTAAAAAAAAAACAAACAAATAAATAAATAAATAAATAAAATAAACAAATAAATAAGTGAACACAAAATAAACAAGAAAGTCTCCCCGGCAACGGCGCCAAAATTTGATGAGCTGTCGTAGGCTCCCAAATTAAAACCTTACCAACGTAGTAGCGGGAGTAAGGATCGATCCCACGAGGAGTAACAAGTTTAATGTATGTGCTCAAATTAAAGTAAAGGGGGTTTTGGTATGAAGATGGTAATCAAAGAAAATAAACGAATAAAGCGATGAAAACAATATATTGAAAGCACCTATAAAAGAAAACCTTGGTTAGTAAAGATCCACCACCGGAATTTAACACTGATCGTTGATTCAAAAGGTAATTAGTATGCAATTGAATATTTGTCGTGAAATTATTTCATTTCTGTTTTCCCTTAGTTGTAGGTAAATAAAGCACAAACGGTTTAATTACCCCTAACTACTAAATAACCTAAGACAAGCGCTATAGATTTAATTTAATAGCAGCAATAGGAACTAGGAAAACCAACAAACTAAATAACACAAGCACAAGCGGTTGCATTTAATTTAGGAAAATATTCTTCCTGAAATCAATTATCACTAAGCTGTCAATAATTAACCTCAGTTGCTACTGAATATTAGAATAATTTGTAGCACAACATTATCTAATATAGCAAATAATTATATCAAATAACTTAGAAGAATATTTAATACCCAAATGCATAAAAATTATATAATAAAATAAATAAATAATCTTACAGCATAATCAATTCCGGGGCTTCAATTCACTAAACCAAGCTAAAGAAATTAGCCACGAATGGACATTGACAACAACTTTAAAGAATAATCGAGAGGGAAAGAATGAACGTTTTACAATAGGAAACTCCTACTATTTATAGCATTCTAAAAATAGGCCAAATGAACCTCTACCATCCATTCCCTATTATGGCGTCATTCGTCCGAAGACTTCCACTATTTGCGCCAAAATGAGTGAATTGAAACTTTCAATTCTTCTATGCATTTCCGCTGCTTTGACCAACATAACCAACATAATACTAAATTATAATATATATATAGATATTGGATCCAATGAGACCCATAATTTGATGAGATGGTGAGACGTCATCTTGTTCATTTATTTTTAATTCTTAACGGTTCAGATTGGTTGTTTTTGGATCCCATGTGCTGATCATTTTTAAAGGAGCTAGGGTCATTTTTGTCTTTTGTCTGTGTATTTATTTCAGATCCCTTAATTATAGCGCGTGTGTATGATTGTGCAGCGTTATTTTTGGCATAAAATCAATACCAATCTTTTGAATGCTCTGCCGGGACTCTTCACTTCCTCAGCGTCGATAGACTTCCTCTTCTATCTCTTCTCTCCATCGCTGCCACGCAAGTTTTAGGGCGGAGTCTTCTGTGTTTCGCGAGCGAGCTCCTCTCCTTTTCCGGTCTGTCCCAGTCGTTATATATATATAAAGATAAATATTTGTTACTTGTGCTCTGTTACGTTATTTTCTCGGGACTTGCGGAAGTATTCCCAACTCGAACGGTTCTCCTCCGCCGCTGCTTGCCGCCTCTCTCCTCTAATCTTTCGGCGTTTTGATTCCATGTTTTTCTCTCAAACCCAATTTGCTTTGCTGCTGTGTGTGTATGTACATACGTAAGTATGAATGTATATGTTTTTATGCAGTCTTCTGGATTTTAAAGCAATGTGGATTAAGTTTTGATTTTAAAATTTTAGAATAAAAAATCTAGGTTTACAAAGTTTGAATGCTAGAAATTTGTTTGTTTTGAATTCGTTGTTTCTTATTTCTACTCTACATAGTCCATCTATGATGTTTGGCATATTCCTATAAACCTATCTGTGTTTAAGACCTGCAATTTAATTATTATGGCCAAGTTAACCCATTTTTGGATATGTTTTAGATTTTGATTCATTTATTAGTTAATTTGCATAGGTTAAGGTTATTGGATTATTGGTTGGTGCATTCTACGTTTTCAGCTTGTGCGTAACATTGTAATTAGTAATTCGTTCAAGCGTTCTACGTTTTAGGCTTGTGCGTTGAGTCACTAAACTAATCACGTGTGTTAACAAAATGGATGGTTAGATAATTGTATTTCTTTTAATGAGATTTTTGTAAAATTGGTGTTATTTTTTTTTTTTTGAATACTTGAATTCATATATTATATTTTATTTTGTTTTTATAAACTTAATATTCTCATCTAATTCGTATTCCTTTTATCAAATCCACCTTAGCTTATAGTGATTTACATATGTGTGCGTTATTGGTATGAGGTTTGTGTGTGATATTGTAATTAGTAATTCGTTGATGCGTTCTACATTTTAGGCGTGTGCGTTCTTGGGGTGACGTTTGTGCGTAATACTGTAATTGCTGATTGGTTGGTGCGTTCTAAGTAATAAGCTAGTGCGTACTATTGGGCTGCTGGGAGGGGGGTTCTGGTCTGTGCGCTGGGGGAAAAGTCAGTGCTCACGAGTATGATAATTTTTTTTACTATTTTGTGGTAATTTTTTGTTGATAATAATGCATTAATTTTGGTATGTTTAGGTGTCACGACTGTACATTTGATGCCGTCCGAGGATGTTGAAGATATTTCTTTTTATGAGATATTTGAAAATTTGGTGATATTTTTTTGAATACTTGAATTCATATATTATATTTTATTTTGTATTTATAAACTTAATATTCCCATCTAATTCGTATCACATTCATAAAATCCACCTTAGCTTATATTGCTTTACATCTGTGTATTCCACATTAAATATTGTGTAGCATACGGGAGTATTAATTAGTTTGTGCGTTGTTGGTATGAGGTTTGTGCGTAATATTGTATTTTTAGGATCTACATTTACGTGTGTACGGTGGTGTGGGGAAGTGTGTGCGCTTGTTGGACATATTTGGAGTTGGGGTTCATTAATGTTGGTTTTGTTAGAAGTATCCGGAATATATATATATATATATTTTTTTGTGTTTGTGTATATAAGGTAGATTTAATCGTGATTGGCTTGTCATGTTCTCATTTGTTATAATATTGTAGAGCATATTGTACTGGCAATTAGTGTGTGCGTTCTTGGGGTGATGTTTGTGCGTAATACTGTAATTGCTACTTGGTTGGTGCGTTCTAAGTAATAAGCTAGTGTGTAATATTGGGCTGCTGGTTTCCCGATTCTGGTATGTGCGTTGGGAGGGAAAAGTGAGTGCTCAGGAGTATGATAATTTTTTTTACTGTTTTGTGGTATCTTTTGTTGCTAATAGTGCATCAATTTTGGTATGTCTAGGTGTCACGGCTGTAGAGACGGTAGATGCGGTAGAAGCTGCACATTTGATGTTGTCCGAGGATGTTGAAGCACCCCCTGTTCCGCAACCATACACGAATTCGGATGAGGAGGATGATGGGCTAGACGCGGATGACTTGAAACTATTTCCACTTTTGAAGATTCGTGCTTCTCCCAAGCATTGGTTCGCACCGATGAGGCAGTTTAATGCTTGTCAGAAGAGAGTTGTGGTCGAGTTGGGGTTAGGAGAGTTGTTGAATCTTCAAATCCACGAAGGTTTATAGCTTATGTGTAATGTTGTGTTTTTATGAGGGGCAGTAGGTGCGTTCTAGGCCAATATTTAAGTCCCTAAATTAGTCACGAGCGTAACAAAATTGATGATTACATAATTGTAATTCTTTTTGACTCCTTGAATATATATATTTTATTTTATTGTATTTTTATAAACTTAGTACTAACCTTCTAATTCGTATCCCATTCATCGAATCCACCTTAGCTTATATTGAATTACATCTGTATATTCCACATTACATATTAATTGTCATCACACACAGACCACAAATAATACACACACGCACAGGCCGACGTGAACAAACGCACACTCCGTCATAAACAAACGCACACACCGCATTTTATGCAGTAACCACAAAAACAGTCATACCGTCTAATTCATTCAAAATAAACATACAAATTCCGTTCACGCACACGCCGTAGGACCTAGATGCACAGACCAACGTACAAAGTTAATTACATACTTAAGTCAGCAACTCTCATACATACGCTACTCGCCATCTTCAACCTCTGAAAATTCGTCCCAATCACAAATCAAAAGCTCACGGTTAAACTCTTACTGACATTGTCTAGAATTGACTACAACTTATTTCCATAATATTTGTAATCTTTGATTATGGCAAAGATTCCAATCTAATTCTAACCAAAATTAACACATTAATACAATTACTTTTAAACCCCCTATTTAAAATATGCCCTTATTTACATTATATTCCCCATTCAATCTCATCCATCCATTACAAATTTATAAATGGATGGAATCTCATCTCACCATCTCATTTAATAAAGGGGTCTCATGGGATCTGCACCCTATATATATATATATATATATATATATATATATATATATATATATATATATATATATATATATTAGTAAGTATTATATTTTATATATATGTAGTATGTAGTACGTAGTAAAAACTATTATATATTATATATTATATATATTTATATTATTAGTAGTACGTAATATATATGTATTCTATATATTTGTTTATTAGATATATTATATTATTATTATTATTATTATTGTTATTATTATTATTATTAGTAGTAGTAGTAGTAGGATGGTACGTAGTATATACATATATATTATAATATATTATATATTTATTTAGTATTATATTTAGCTCATAAATTGTTAAACTCTAAAAATAACTAATTGTTAAATAATATGAAATAATTAATACGAAAATATTATAAAAATGTACCTAAAATATGAGTGTAAAATGCTCATATCACCTATGATAGGTTTTAAAATTTGCGTTGCCCTCAAAAAGGTTAGGACAGATTGTAACTTAGATCTTGCACTTGAACAGGACAGCGTGAGCAATAAAACAGGATATGTTCATCTTATGACGCCACCCAGTTGTTGTTCAATCAAACTATACCAGAAATTTAGATTTTCAGGGAAAGGTATGATACTATCATACTATCTTATTATTCAATTCCACAGTCAGACATATTCTTAGAACTAAAGTTTTTATTTTTCTTTTCTCTATGAAGTCTTTGTACTGAGCAGACTCCATTGAGGGGTATCAACTCATATTCAAGTCTGATTTATAGTCTAATTCAAATTTTTAGCTCTTATAGTATTCTAATAACTTAAATAAGTGATCTATAAGGTTTCTTTTCTGGAGAGGAGCTAGGTTGAAAGTCCAAGTCCTGGACACTATCAGGATTTCTAAAGAAAATTGGAGTGAGGTTGTGAAATGCTGCCTATTGGAAGATTAAGTAGTATGAACACACAGTATGCAAAGTTGTATATACATAGTGCAAAATGTATGATCACACGGACAATTACGAATTGTGTGTATTAAATCTTTTTAGAAATCCAAAAATTTGTTTATACTATCATATGAAAATCTGTTGTAAACAACTGAATTATTGAGAGTAAATCCACCAACAACAAAAATGATGGTTTCCTAATAGTAGTTATTTTTATGCTATTACTATGTATATAACAAAGAGGCAATATTATTAATTAGGTTAGATTACATGGAAATAGTGTATTATGCAACAAGAAAGGATCTAATTTCTAGGATGATTGAAGTGGATGGAGATGAAGACTCTGATTTGGTAATTGCAGATTATTTTCAGTCATTTAGTATATTTATGTTATTGGATTGTTTTAGTATTTCTCTTGGATTTTATCATGTTTATAGACAAAATAATGGAAAAATTGTCCAGATAGTTCAATGCAATGCAGGAACTCTGAACATATGGAAAGCAAGCAGCAACCTGTACATTTCGACTAAACAAATGGTTGAATGATTATCAGTACAATTAGTGATATTTATAAAATAAAAGACTAAAGAATAAAGTTGGTTTTAATGTGCTATTGTTACTGGACATAAATGCCCCAGTAGCATTTTTTTTTCTGATGTTAGATAATCATATGTATATTTTTCTGATGAATATTTGTTGGACCTGTTTTCAGATAGATTGACACTCTGTATGACATATGAAACATTACTAACCTATTTGAAAACTTTAAATTAAAGAATAATTCTTCCCCACATGAAATTTCCAACTCTTAAAGAATAAGTTTAGACTTACTTGGGTTTGAAAGACATTGATGCCAGTTATTCAATGTCTATATGCCTTACATATTTATGCAAATTTTCGACCAAAAATACATAAAATAAGCAATTCGTGTTCGAACATTTACCTGAATCGAGTTTGAGATGAATTCTGGGTCGGAACCTTAAGTCGGAAATGGTTGATGCGAACTCCGTTCGAGTGTCGGATTTGCTGAACTCGGAAGCTGGAAAACAAAATTCCATATACAAATAGTCTCCTTGAGACATCAGATTCAAAGATGTATTCCAAAATCAGGTATTTTGGAACGGATATACTGATTATACACTCAGAATGTTAAGATTAAAAGGTAAATCGAGCCAGAATTTTAGAGAGAAGTAGGCTGTTCTTGGTCATGTAAAGAGCTAGAGAGATACAGAGATGGTGAAATGAAAGAAGGTTCTCGGCCTTGCTCCTGACAAGAGAAGACGGTGGATGAAATATTACCACAAAATGAAATGGATTTTAGGACAAAATACTATTAAAATATTAATAATAATATGTAATTTAACTGTGTATATTAATATTCTATTTTAGGATATTATATAATGTTTCATTATTTTTCAAAGAATGGACAATGTTGACATCTCACTGTCTCCAATTGAACAAGTTTATACATCAGAGTTTATCAATGCATGAAAACTTCTAAAGAAATTTGTAACTGATAGTCTAAATAAATACAACTTTTGATTTCTCTTTACTTAAACCAAAAGAGATATAATTTCATTAGTTATACTACTAAATATGTTTAATTTGGCAAATTTTTGTATGGACCATGAATCTTATAATACATTTTTAATATATGATGTTTTGTATTGTTTATTTACTGAAAGTAAATTATTTAATAGTATGCTCACAATAATGTACATATTACTTTTTTGACTCTATGTACACCAACAAATTTATTTAATGGTATTAAATTTCATATCTATTTTTCATTTATGGTTAATGCGATTGCTGGCCGATTAAATCTCGATTGCGGGCCGATTAAATCTCGAAGACAGTTCGTAGAAGGATATGAGAAATATTTTTTTATCTCGCACGTGAGTTATGTACGTAGCACTTTGAAGAGTAAGTAATCTAAGGAGATTAAAAATTTTGATTGGTATGGATAATGGACAATCTATAACTACGACAAAAAATGTTGTATACAATTTTTTTTTAATAATGTGTAATACACTTTCATTGTTAATTGTTATTAAATAATTTACTCTATATAAATTTTCTTCATTTTTTTTTATTTTTATGTTATATTGTTTAATTATATTATTATTATTTACCTTCAAAAAAAAATTTATTATTATTTATGGCCGTGCACCGCACGGGTACAAATACTAGAATGATAGTTTGGTGGAACAACTGACTGAAGAGCAAAAGGCAATATATGATAACGTATTGGACGATGTTGAGAATGAGGTTGGGGGATTATTTTTTGTGTATGGATATGGTGGTACGGGTAAAACCTTCTTGTGGAGAGCATTGACTTCCGCTTTGAGGTCAAAGGGTGAGATTGTTATAAATGTTGCATCAAGTGGCATAACTTCTCTATTATTACCAGGGGGAAGAACATCGCATTCGAGGTTTTCAATACCAATCGCTGTTAATGAAGATTCTACTTGCAAGATCAGTCAAAGCAGTCCGTTGGCACACTTGATCATGCAATGTAGGTTGATCATTTGGGATGAGGCCCCAATGATGCATAAATTTTGCTTTGAACCTTTGGACCGAACTATGCGAGATCTACTGCGTGTTCAAAATCCAAGAAGTTTTGAAATGACTTTTGGTGGGAAAACCGTCGTTTTAGGTGCAGACTTCAGACAAATTTCACCAGTAATTCCAAAGGGCACCAGACAAGATATAGTGGGTGCAAGTATAAATTCATCATATCTGTGGAGAAGCTGTAAAGTATTTAGGCTTACAAAGAATCTACGGCTTAGGGCATTGCAATCAAAGTCTGGAGTTCAAGAGATTGAAGAACATGCAAAGTGGATTGCTGATATAGGTGACGGAACTATTGGTGATTCATTGGATGGAGAGTGTGAGATCAACATTCCAGATAAATTCTTACTCAAGTCGGTAGAGGATCCTATTTGTACAATTGTTGATAGCATATTCCCGGGGTTTCGTATTGGAAATAGAGATGTCAAATACCTAAAAGACTGTGCAATTTTGGCACCAACTTTGGACGTGGTAGATAACATCAATGAATATATGAATGGATATAATACTGCCGAAGGAATGGCATATCTCAGTTGTGATTCGGTATGCAAATCGGATTCCAATGTGGACATGCTTGCTGATCTACACACACCGGAGTTTTTAAATGGATTACGATGTTCTGGAGTGCCAAATCACTCATTGACTTTAAAAGTTGGATCACCCGTTATGCTCATGAGAAATATTGATCACTCATTGGGGTTGTGCAATGGTACAAGGATGATCATTTCAAAGTTGGCTACTCATGTTTTAGAAGCTCAAATATTGACCGGAACAAGTGCTGGTACAAAGGTGTTAATACCAAGGATGTCCTTAACACCGTCAGATCCAAGATTGCCTTTTAAGTTTCAAAGAAAACAATTTCCGCTAATGTTGTCATATGCCATGACAATAAACAAAAGCCAGGGTCAAACATTGTCAAACGTCGATTTATTTTTGAAGAGGCCGGTTTTTAATCACGGACAACTATATGTAGCGGTGTTAAGGGTTAGTAATACTAGCGGATTAAAAATGTTGATTTGTGACGAAAATATACAATCCAAAAATACAACTACAAATGTCGTAAATAAAGAAGTTTTCAATAATGTGTAATAAAAGTCACAGTTCATCCTATTACTTTTAATTGTAAGGCCTTACATATTATTTCTTAGATTTATGACCGTGCTTCGCACGGGTGTAAATACTAGTTATGACTAACAGTAGAAACCATACATCGACTAATACTAACACGAATCCAAGTATTTGCCACCTTGGACCTGGGGCATTTTTTATTGAGACAATTGTTGCACAGCAAAACATATGTCAGGTCTGGTGATGGTCAAATATAGATACACATGATTGGATGTATCTATATTTTTAGAATATATCTAAATATACTATATATATATATACTAATAAGAGTCCAAGAGAGTTAGGCCTATAATGGGTAGAAAAAATGACGGTCAAATTTTTTAATCAAATGAATGGCTCGGATTGATCAGATTTTAATTTTTCCTTAAAGATTTCCTAATTTATCATTAATGAATATGATTATCCATTAACTTTTCCATTAAATATTATCTTTTCCGTTAATTTTTGTTAGTTCACCGTTAACTTACTCATTGATTTCAATAAGAAATGCCTTAAGTTTGAACCCCATCCCAATCAAAGTTGGCATAATTAGTAATCTATTTTACTTGTATAAATTAAATAATAATTTAGTAGCTATAAATTAAAGAAATGCATTTCCAGGGCCAGTCCTATCATTTTATAGGCCCGGAGCAAAATAAAAACAAGGGCCCTATATGAAGTTAAAAGATTCTACGAGTTAATTGAAAATAAATAAATGATAATTTTGAATTTTTATAAATATATAATTTTTTTATTAAAAAAAAATTTAGATTAGCTTTGGAGTCAAATCATTATTACATAGACCATGATCCACACAATTGTGTGGACCATAAATAAAAAGTACATTTTTAATATACTATGGGTACATTATTTATGTACGTAAGGTACATTTTTTGAAAGTACATTTTTAAAATACTAAGGGTACATTATTTTATATAATGTAATCTCAGTACAAAAATAATGTACTTTTAATATATTAAAAATGTACCTGATATTCATGGTCCATACAATAATTTTCCAAGGAGCAGTACCCATTCAAACTTTGGACCCTATATGAAGTGTAATTATAAATTAATTCGACGTTTGCAAATATATATTACAATGTAGTATCTTATGGTTGCACTAGGCGCTAGACGCAAGTCGGGCGCCCGAACAGCGCCTAGCGTCTAGGCGGCGCCTAGGCGGAATCTAGGCGGCGCTAGGGGGGTGCCAAAAAAATAGTGGCAGACTAGCAGTTTGACAATTTTAATAAGGCTTTTTTCAACATTCAATCAAATATCACATCCAAATAAATGAAATAATGATAGTTCATAAGTCATAACATCAAAACAATATTAAAAATTAAAAATACTCAAATACTTCAATCATCCAAAGATTCAAAGTATCAAATTAGTCTACAGATGTATTTATGTCATATTATATTTATGTATGTATACACACACACACACATATGTGTGTGTGTGTGTGTGTATATATATATATATATATATATATATATATATATATATATATATATATATATATATAATGAAAAAAAAAAATTACCAAGGTCGAGCTGATTGGGTTAACTCGACTGAACTAAACGAGTTAACTCGGTTAAGTTAGACGCTAGGCGGTCAAGTCGGCCGAATTAGGCGCTAGGTGGACGCCTCTAGGGGGGAAATCGCCCCTGTCTAGGGGCGCCTGGCGCCTAGACCGATTTTTACAACAATGAGTATCTATTCATAACTTCTTTCTCAACCAAATGAAGCACAAAGAGCCAATCACCTCCACTGAGGCTCGAACCCACAACCTCCCCTATGAGGGAACAACTTAATGTCATTGGACCACAAGGTCTTTGACATTAAGTATATTTAAAACTAGTAAAATAATTTTGAAGTCATTGATTCAAATCTTTACATATATATAAGCATTTCTTTTTTTTAACTTTATCAAAAAAAAAAAAAAAAAAAAAAAAAAAAAAAAAAAAAAACCCAAACTAGGGGCCCTCCCAAGGTTGGGCCCAAGGCGGGTGCTCATCCCGCCCGCCCCTCTGGGCCAGCCCTGTGCATTTCTTTAATTTAGAATTATGCGTCTACCATGTCTTTATTAAAAAAAAAAAATTATTCATTATCAATAAATTAAATATGAGAAATAATTTCTTGAGTTAATTACCGAAATAGTCCCTTGACAATAGCGAAATTACCAATTTGGTCCTTGAGTATTTTTTTTGACCAATTAAGTCCCTCAACTTTAAAAATCATAACCAATTTGGTCCTCCGTTTGTTTGACCGTTAGTAACTGTTAACTTGGGACCAAATTGGTAATTCGCTATAGTCAAGGAACCATTTTGGTAATTAACTTTAAGGGTCGACAATTCGGTTCAGTTTTCTTGAATCGTACTGTACCAAACTAGTTAGATTCAGTAATATACCGAACAACCGAACGGTAATAGATTCTTGTATACCGAATGGTTCGGTAAAAACTCGAATCGTACTTTACATTCAAATTCATCAATTGATTATATATTTACTACATTGTCTATTATCTTTTTTTGTGCACTATTTTTTAATTAAATATCAAAGTTATAATACAAAATAATGCTATATATTTATTTAACAAATATTTTATTAATATCGTGAAAAAATTTTAAAAAATATAATTAATAAAACCAATTATGTTAACTATTTGAGAGATTTGTTGACAAAGAGTATTCAAATCACAAAACAAAATGAAGTGAGAACTGCCTCGTAATGTCCTAGTTTGACAATCAACAGTTAGTGGTTAGCATTAGCGGATTATATTAGCGGATTTGACCAGCAAATTATATTAACGGTTGGTAAAAAGATATTTGAAAAAATTAGCTTTTTAGATTAACATGTAAAATGACCTAAGAGTATACATAATAATAATAATAATAATAATAATAATAATAATAATAATAATAATAATAATAATAATAATAATAATAATAATAATAATAATAATAATAATAATAATAATATTAATAATAATAATAATAATAATAATAATTGTTTTTTTTTGGCAAAATAATAATGATTGTTTTAAAATAATAAAAATATATATATATATAATTAAGCCAATCATATTATGTTGGTCCCAAATAGGTGGCGAGAAGTCTAGAGGGGGGGGGGGGGGTGAATAGACTTCTCTAACTTTTTCAACTTTCTTCAAAAACACACAAGGCAAATAACACTTTGATAATTTCAACTCTAAGTAACAAGCACCAACAAGATAAACAACTTAGAGTGTGAAGCGGAATAGATAGCGGTAAAGTGTTATGCCTAAGTGTGGTGCTCAAAGAGAGATTCTAAACATGCAACACGTTAGAAACACTTGATATAGTTCAAAGATGATGTACTTAAAGTTTGGCTTGCATGCAAACGTGGGAACTATTAAACCCAGACAGATAAAGATATGCAATAAATCGCAATCAGGTTAGTTCGCAGTTAAAATAAGCATGCACGAAATATATAAGCAGTAAGTAAATAGAGAGAGAGAGATCTATAGTGGTTCAGAGATGGTGTAATTCTCCTACTCCACTCTTCTCCTTTCACTTCAAGGAGGAAGTTCACTATTCTTCGATCACCTAGATACAATAGTGAATAAGTGTCCACCGACACTTCTCCGAGTGCTTCGCACAAAGCTACACTCCTCCAAGGTTTTTCGCAAGCTCCTCTTGTTACTTCGCCTTCCCGAGTACTTCGCACCAAGCTGTACTCCTACACCACGAGAACTACGCACAAAGCTACGCTCTCACAGGGTTTTCATAAGCTCCTCTTGTTACTCTGGCCTTTACAACGAGTGCTACGCACAAAGCTACACTCAACCAGGGTTTTTCACTCTCTCTAGTTACTCCGCCATCTTTCTACACTCAGTAGAGAATATTACAAAGGAATAAAAATTTTCCCTCTCACTCAGACTTGAATGTAATTCTATGAAGCTCTGTTTCCCCCTTTTCGGCTAATTAGAAATATTGATTGTATCTCTTTCTTGTATGTCTTAGCCGTACTCAATTTGAAAATCGCTCAATAGGGGTCAAGTGTTGAATCTGTACTTGTCTTCAAGTCTGCTTGGACAATTTATAGCCAATGAAAGCTATTTGCCCATTGATCAACTTTCGATCTCGATCGTCCATCTTCGTATGTAGTTGATCAAAATAAAATTGTCAACTTGATCTGAAATATTAGGTAGAAGCCTTTTCGCCTTTTGTCAGATGATTTGAATATTTTGCCCGTTGCCGTGTCTTGAATTTTGTAGCCTCCAAAATTTGAATAAGTTCGGCGCGGCAAGCTTGACATTTCTTGTCCTTCATTAATGTTCTGACATATCAAGTTGATCAAATAATTTATCTGCTGATTCTTGCTTGAGTATGAAGCAATATCTTCGTGAATCAGCTTCCTTCGAGCGCCTCCGGTTCCACCATAAAAAGATTGATGTGTTGGAAAAAATAGCTAAAAATGGCATAAAATGGCATGTTAAGTGGCTATTTTGTGGTACAATTATTAGTGGGGTCCACTTCCGATTTGGGTCGGGTTAAAGTGGATTCGGATTCTTCGTAGTGAGACGAAGAGATCGATATATTGTACGCTCAAAACGGATAATGGGTGAATGAGATATTGATTCTCAAAGTAGACCCATTTGAGTTGGAAAATGAAGGGAAAAAGTGTGCTTTTGTCCCACATTGCTTTGGAATGAAGATTTTCCCCCCTTATATACAAGAGATCTTTTGAAGCTTGTAGAATTGTATAGCATAGAGGCTCTCTCGCGCGGGGCGGGGGGTTGCAAATCAAATTCCAACTAGCAGAGATTGAAAAAGGCTTGATTCAAGCCCGAGCTCGTGTGCGCCGGCACCTGGGGGCACGAATGTCGTCCGGAAATTGGCTGGCCTTGCGGGCTAAGTTATGCCAAACTTCGGTATCATTTTCCAACTGGTATAGCCACTTGGTTCGGGTTCGGCCAGAACCGAACCGAGAGCACAC